AAACTTACTGCGTTTGGCTTTTTCTGGTGCAGAATTATGACGCGCGTCCAAGTAAAAAGCAACATGGCTGTTCTGACTGTGGTCGAGGAATTGCTCTCTAGCCCTTTTCGTCGTCAGACATTTTAAAATCCCGTCGTAATCTATTTTTACTCATCGTTTTTTTTAATATAATGATAACGACATTCTCAATTGCATCTAATTTTTATTCATTTTAATTACATTTAGGCAGAACAAGTAGAACAGACAGTCAACACTGTACCGTCACACAGATGAAAATATGCAACTTTTTACTTTGGCACCAATAACCACATATAAATATTGAAATCAAGCAATTGCATTTAAAATGACAGTTTACTTTCCTCCTGGTCCACATGCACATGCTTGTGTGTAATCAAACGTCTCAAGGGGGCTTGCTGCAGACGGTTTATTGTCATGAAGTTTTGGAGTTTCGCCTTGGACTGATGACTTCTCGCTGTTTTGGTATTGATCTTGGAGGCTTGAATCCGCGCTCTGCTGCCACACTGGAGACTGAAATTACAAGCCACACTTCAGCTAAAGAGAGGAAGCAGAGCAGAGCCGATGTAGAGATGAATGGAGCTCAGTACTGGAAGAAAATAAAAGTTCTCAGAGTCTGCAAAAGACTTGACAGAAGTTTGTTTTCCTGCAGGACACTGACCATAAACATGCAGCCGCCGGTACAATAGAATGAATCTGAGCATACTCATGTACCAGAATGACCTAGTCAAAGTCCAGACCCATGAGAATCTGTGGTGTGACAGAGTTTGAGCTATTTTGCACTGGACAGGATTTTTAGTTCTAAACTGATAAATTTTACATTTGTTAAAAGCATGCATCGTTTCCTTACCACTTCACAATTATGAGTATTTGTCTGTCACATAAAACACCAAAAGAACTAATTAAAGTTTTTACTTGCGATGGACAAAAAGTTCAAGTGGACGAATACTTTTGCGAGGCATACGAAAAACATGAAAATAAGCGATCAATGTCAATGAGAATGATAAAGAGACGCTCTGAGCTGTTATCTTGCACCGAGCAATGGGTCGAGGCAGATACTGGTACAGATTTTTCCGACTCTGTAACGATGTGATGACAGCTTGACAATACGATGGGTCGGCCTCGTTGTGAGACTTCAGCAGGATCGATGAGAAGACGGGGGTGTACGAGCCGTCACCGCTCCCCATCCTCACAACATCGCCTCTCAGCTGTTTGAGAGCAGAACGCGACTTGAAGGTTCAGCTTTGGAGCGATGAGCTTCTTCTATGTTCCTGTTTTGTCTCCAGCGCTGCCCTGGCTGCCATTGTAATCAGTCATACTTTATTTGAAGAGCAGTTTTTGTATTTCAAGTATGAAGCAGCGTACTGCGCACAAGTTAAAATGTGAAGACAGAAGTTAGAGCTGTTGCCTCACATAAGGACGGTCTTGTACTGAAAACCAGGATGCGTCAAGTCTTTTCTCTAAAAAGTCTACATGTTCTTTCTTGCAGAGTGTCCGTGCGTTTTCCACTGCAGTATACCACAGTGCATGTACGCTCAGGTTGAATGTGTGTGTGGATGGTGTAATACCTTGATGCACCTAAATAAGTCCCATTTGCAAGGAGTTGCTGGTTGTACCGTTTAAGCAGGACAGTAAACCTATGCGTACAACCAGAGTCACAATCAAATAGTTGACATAAAAGTCTATTCATGTGGCCCAGTCAAAGTACAGGTTTAAGTGTTTTGTCAAATATGCTTAAACCTGTATTTGACAAGTTGTGCAAGTTGATATTAAGCGTATGTTAGCTGTGGCACTGCAATCAGTATGCTACAGAAAGTTATGTTCTCACATTGCTATTCTATCCATTTAACATTGTTATATGAACACATTGATCACCGGAGAAAACCGCTTACTGCAGAACATTTGGAAATGTAAAACATTTCTTCCTCACAAGTATCAAGGCTCGTGTTAACAATTGCATCACTGCTGCACAGCTGATGTAACTGCGTAACTCCAATGGTGCAGCAATGACTGTCACATTACGCAGACATTTTACTTACGCCACACACAGTGAACATTAAGCCGTCATTTCTATGTTTGATTAATCGTGCTAATGATCATCTGATCACCTGGGGTCACCTGGAAGTACTGAAATTTTAATACCAGAAGGTCATGTGATTCCTCGCTATGATAAAAACAACATTAATAAGACAGTGACGTCACAGAAAATTAATATACACACTAAATTTCACCCCATAGGTGTGTTATTTTTCTACCATCGAAAGTGACACACATAATTCACAAGACATCACGGTTCATTTTGTGTCATTTTCTCACATTTACACACAAAATAATGTACCTTTTCAAAAGCCAGCACATATGGCATGATAGAAAACAATCAAAGGCCACAACTTTGCCAAAATCATTTTTATTTTCCCAATTGTGCTGCTGTTGCCAAAACTGTTGGTGTCATTACAAAAAGACAAAGAAGACATCCTGCGATTCTACGTCTTAATGCATAACGTTGGCTGTAAGTTACTAAGAATTATTTTTAGTGCTTTCCTCAGTGTGAAACTCTCAAAGTTTGTAGATGACTAAATGTAATGACCAGAACATGCGAATCCACGCAATGTGCTTTTCCTGCAGTGATGTACACGCCAGCGTTTGAGCTGCTCTGACGGTAAGCGCTCTCCTTGCGACCTTCAGAGTTACTCTTTGCAGGGGGGCCTGTGTGCAGGGCTCACATTTTGTGCACAGCTCAGATGTTTTGCTTTTTTCTTCTTTTTTTTGGCACATCAAACAGCATGTTGAGACTTCGGTGCAGTCTAGGTCTGTCTTTCAGAGCAGAGATGAAAGGTCGAGTTACATAACATCAGAATGTGGAACGGCTGTTTATGTGTGTGTGTGTGCGCGATCAGGGCGCTTCACTGTCATGGCGATCCTCTAATGGCGCAGCACTTTTGCTGCTGCTTAGCAGGGAAGGTTTATGCTGCCAGCTTTTATGCAGTAAAGGTAAAATGTCGATGTCAGAGCAATAAAAAGTTTGGTAAACTGCAACTAATAGTAATTACTATAAACTACAGTTATTCACATTGCTTCTGTGCAATATTTTGCACACTTGTCAAAACTTTGAGGGGATTGCTGATAGTCAAAACCTACTTGCCCCTTCATAACTGTAGTACCAAATAAAGAAAAGTCGCCCTTAAGAGGATGAGAACATTGTTTGAGAAAGCACTTCATGTTTCTTTTTTTAACTTCCAAAATGTCAAATTATGGAAAGGCTGTTCCAGAGCCATTTTCTTTTTATTTATGATGGCTGTTTATAACATTGTTTGCTCACTGTCAGGGTCATTAATTATTGGACTGCTTTGCCTATTGTTAATAAAACCTTGACCAAAGAACAAAGTGTTTTCTCTCTAACAGATATCCTAGTCTGCTAAATATTTGAGTGGCATGTTTGTTTATCAAACATACATAAAAATGTAATCCCTTTGGTTTAATGCCAGCGATTGTGCTCCAAATGACTGTTAAATAATATTTAATGACTTGCTTTAAAGTGTATTTTTCAGTTGGATGACTTGGTGTGCTGAGCTCAAATTCTAGGAAAATATGGTCATGTGACCAACATGTGAAGATCAGCAATTATAGTTATTGGTTGGGTAAAAACAGAACTTCATTACAATATTGGTAACTTGCTGCTTGATTAGGTTATAGTAAATTGAATAAAATGGCGAAAATTACGACTTTTGTAAGCATTAGGCTATTAGATATTTGTGTGCTACATGGTGAAACAACCAGTGGATGGATGGATGGATGGATGGATCAGTTGGTGACGAACTAAATTTAATGTGAGTTTGATTTATTTTATTTAAAAGCTTAGCTTGTGTCTTTAATTTCAGAACAATGCTGTTGCTGATTTTGAACCTTCCTCTGTAGCTTATTGCTACCAAAACATCAACAATATCTAACAAAGTGTGCTGCTGAACGTAGAACTTAATGTGACGATATTAAAGGTTCAAATGTTTGCAGACAATGGCGCTGATGGAAATGGGGAACGTGTCAAAGACAGAAGATTATTTGTGCTTTCATGAGCGTTGATTGGAATGGTATTGTTCAGTAATTATACCTATTTTTTAAGCAGGAAATAAAAACGTATCCGGTGCAAGGAGTTCTAGTCTAATTACACACAGCAGCACTGGGCAAACCTTTGACTAAGACGTGATGCTGACGCCTTTGGCCAGTGGATTTAGCTGAAATTAATTTTCATTGTTCTTATTAGGCATGAGGATTATCAGCTTTTGTCTTAGTTTAGCAAAGCGGCGCAGTGGGGAACTTGAAGGTACACTGTTGTCCAGACCGGCGTCATTTTTCCACTCATAGCGTGACACAATTCAGTGACCTCCACTGACACAGTAAATTACACCTGAATTATTAAATTGGCTTTTATACTGAGCCTCTTTCTTTGCAGCTTTCAGCAGCAATTTAGCAACATGCTGGGCTCGCTTGTCGCTGTGGCAGTGGGTCCGACAGAAATAACCACGAGTTTAAGGTTGAGCTCTCAGGCAACATGCTCAGCAAAAAAAGAAACAATGGCAGAACCGCACTTATGCGTGTGGGGAAACACGAGAGAGTGGAAAATGGGCTTACGAGGCCCGTGGGACGACACAGAGGCTGGTAATTAGAATAAATAGAAAAATCCTCAGCCTTCACGTGCTACTGAGGCAGTAAATAACAACTAAGGTAAACCTAAACCTGACTGTGAAATTACATTAAAGATGTGTGTGCTTACTGAAAAGCACTAAAAAGTAAAACAACTGCAGACTTTTTCTTCTTCTTCGAGAGCATTTCCCGCCCATATGCTTCCATTTTCCGAAGAAAAAATAAAACAAAAATCTGATTATTTACAGTTTTTTTTGGGGGGGGGGTGCCCTCTGATGCAGGAAGTCACCGGACACAGGATGTGAAGCGCTGTGCTTTGAACATGTTTCTGTCTTTGTTTTCCACAGATGCTCTCCCGTTCAGAATGGGACCACAAGAGAGGCTCCCGAGGATCACAGGTTAGCACAATGATCAGATAGACATGCAGTACCAGACACGTTTACTGGAAGGCCTGATCTAGATGTGCCAGGCCAGAAAATAAGAATACACCCCTTATCCCAGCATAATAATTTTACATTTAAGAATCCAGTCTTGAATTTGAGTATACTTTTTAAGTGGAGAAAAATTCACGTTAACAGAGCCGGAGCTTATAAAGGAGAATCGTTGGCTCTTCCTTCTTTGCTTAGACTATCTTAAATATCCACTCCTTGTTATTGTCAACTAACCCCTGTAGGATTCAGTCAAAATGACTGAGGCAAGATTGATTTTCTAATTTGATTTTGGTACATGTTTCAGATTATCATCCTAATTTAGGAAAAATGAAGACATACATAATGTTTTTTGTCTAAAATCTCCAGGTATTTCAAAGGTTTTATGAAGCCTTGCACACTACTAAGCTTTCTTAGCACCTCTGGGTGAGAAAAAGGCGTCACTGACCCTCCACCACACATTACAGTGTGTGTGAGTAGCTTTACTACAAATCCATCCTGTTTTTTTTTTTTTATGTTTTTACCTTTATAAGAGCATACTCTTCCAGTATAGTCCTGGTACGGTTTATCAGACTCCATGTTTATATTTGTGATGGTTGGACAAACAGGGCTTTTATTTCTGGAATCACTTACGAACCACCCTTTGGAGACTTTGTGACTTTCAGATTCCTTCTTTGTGTGGTTTCATATCACTGAGCTCTGAGTTACTTTTTCTTTTACCACTTCTACCAGCAAGATAAGAGTGAGTCCCAGTTCAGTCTTGTGTTCAGATGCTAAATAAAAGGCCTCCATGTCATGTTGTATTTATAAATTGTATTTATTTAAAGAGATTATAGTTGGTATCATCATTAACCATGGCAACTGTAATTTTATTAATAAAATAATTACTTATTAACATTCACTTTGCGTACATTAATGATTGAATTTTTTCAGATTTCTTTCTGTGAGATTATGCTTTAGCAATAAAAGAAACATTTCCTCTAAGGCTTTTCGACGTCTTTACTCCTGATGAACGTGTCCGGCGTCGTAGATGTAACAGCAGACAGGAACGCCCCTGTCTCTCTCTCTACAGATAGAGCTTCAGATTATCCACTCGTCTTACGTTTGCCTGAGCACCATGTTGGGAGGCGCCGCTCTCTCCAACAGAGTCATCGTCTCAGTGCTGGTTTGAAAGATAGAGTGACTTGGCTCTACATGAGGTTCTCTAAGCGATTAAAGGGCAAGGAAATGGGAATAGACTAAGCAGGGGCCAGGGGAATTGGCTCTTTGAGAACAGACATTCAGCCACATCCTTCAGATAACCTTCCCCATCTTTTGTGGGCATGGGAATTTGTGGATGTGTCTGCGCTTGAAAATTGATGTATTGAGCTGCTATGGAGCTTCGGGGCAGCACTCCTGAATGAGAATAAACAACGCCCTTGGCGCCGGTTTTGCCACGTCCAGCATGAATGTGTCCTGTACCCCATGTCCTCCTATCAGGAGGGGGGTGGAGAGACATCCTTCAGAAATAAATGGACAGGCAGTCTTTGCTGACAGTGTGCGGTTTATTTAGATAGCAACGAATGCTGCAAAGATGCACAGCACTACACCTAGAAACTGTTTATACAGAGCTGAATTTTTACTTGACTCAAAAAGTACTGGGGGGGAAAAAACTGTGATAATGCATTCTGGGTAGGCTGGAGAAGAGCAGAGATTGTTACTTGTAAAAATGAGCAAAAATATTAAAATAGTCGACAACCTGCTAAGGACGTTTAGCTCTTAGCAGAAGCAATAGGTCAAACTGCTGTGTCAGATGTTGAAAAGGCAAAGTTAAAATAAACAGAAATGAAATGCGTTTTCATTTAACTTACGGGCAAATTTACCTAAAATTGATAAAACATACTAGATCATTTTAAATCTTTTTTTAACCATCGTCACGTTGATATGGTCAAAAGTTTGAAGGCAATAAATGTTTGGATTTTATTGTCCTAGTGTCAGAAATGTGGACAATGTTCAAATTGCAAGTTGGTTGGTATTTAATGGATTTGAAGCACGTAGCTCAAACTTTATTAGAAACTGGTGCTTAAAGACATGCTACATAAAAGAGGAGAAAAGTCAATACGTTCTTGATGTAATGTTGATGACATGGCAGAAATTTGTTGTATTTGATCAGAAATCTAATGGAAACTAAAACGTGATTATATAAAAAGCGGTAGAACCTGAAATTGGCCCAACGTCATTTCACCTGTTTTCATTGTATGTCGGGCCGAAACTAAGGAAAAGTAGAGAGTCCTTAAGAACACAATGAGTTTCAAAGGTTTTAAGGTTTGTCCTATTCAGATCTGTTGAAGTGTATTGCCAAAATAAGTAAAATATTTTTAGAAATGTAACACTTTGCAAATAGAAGACATGATGGCTACCGGATTGTTTTGAAATATGCTTGAAATAGCTCTTATATTGCAGGAGTAGCAAGAAATATGTGGGGAAAGTCTCAGCAGCTTTAGGATCCCAAATCAGCCTTAATCTAGCAACTTAGCAACCCTCAGACCAAAGAAAGCCTTAACGCTACCCAGAGCTTTATTCTCTGGGACTTGTGTAAAGTTAGTAGGAGAAGACATATTTCACGACGGAGGCCTCACCTAAGTTATTTACATTCAGTGGTCAGTTTTGTTTGTTTTTTTTGTTTTGTTTCTGGACAGGAGCTGCACATTCCTCTCTGGACTCGGGCAGAGATCCAGAGAATGACGAGATATGGAAGAGGCCAAGGCTTATGTTGGCATCTTTCTCCATCTTGTGGCAGTTTTCTCCTTAACTGTTGGACCAGGTTGCTGGTCAAAAAGGCAGGCTGCACCTCTCTGTGCCCCAGCAGCTCACAGCATATTCAAATCACAGACAGAGCGAGAGAGAGAGAGAGAAAGGAGAGTGGGGTGGACGGGAGACTGGACCACTTGATTGATCTTCTCTGTGTTGTATTTGCCAACATGCACACATTAGTGGGCTCATTTTCCAAACCACATCTTTTTTCCACCTCTAAAGCATGCGGTGGATGTTTTAGCTTAGAGACTGACAGTAGCGTTATGTATGGAAAGAGCTATTCAAATATTTGTATTGAACTGGAAAGTTGTTAGTTTTGGACGGAGACCAGGGGAATTAGAAAGGGGTGCTTGTAGTCCTGGATGGATTTTCTGACTGTTATTCTAAATTAATGAAAGGTTGAAGGAGTGCGAAGCAGACAATTGATGATGTTGGTGTCATGCCATACACTTGTGAAGTGGTTGTTTATTTTCCACCATATTAAAGGCTGCGCACTGCTTGCTTCACTGGAATACATATTCCCGACTTTCATAGATTGCTCTGTGTTACCCATGTGCTCAGGATAAGTTACTGCCTTTCAAGAGCAGCGCAAGTGGCAAAAACAACCCAACGTGTTTTGATTTGCGCTGGGCCATTGATTGTGCCTTTTTCCAGAAAGCTTATTTATTCAACAGTCTATCACGTAAAGCAGTTTGAATTGCCTTGTTGCTGAAATGTGATGTTCAAATAAACTTAACTTGACTGAACAAAACATGTAAAGTTCAGTCCACCAGGAAAAAGGCGACTATCTCTCAGCTTTCAGTGGCAGCAGTTTAAAGTCGTCGTGTTGTGACGGGGAGCTCCAACTTGAACTTGAACATAAGTTACAGAAGCAAAATTTAATATTTCACTTTAGGCCTAGCAACAGTTCTCTGGGTGTTTTTATTATTATTATTATTATTATTATTATTATTATTATTATTATTATTATTAATATCTTAGTTTTGTTTTGTTGGATTCTAATTAACCCATTCATGCATAGTGGTCACTACAGTGGACAGCTGTCTAAAAGCCATTTTCTTGTGCTTTTGTGGATTTTTATGTTATAAATGCACACAGACCACTGAAGTGGACACTAATGCATCATAAAATATACCATCAACTACAGGCCATCAGCTGCAAATGCAAGAAATTATTTTTGTTAAATCCGATATGGCCGACAGACAAAAAAAGCACGCCAACCGACCCGGTCCCTCCTTCTACTGTAGACGACTCTAGCAGGTAAAAAAAATATTGTTACCTCAGATAAGCCCTAAAGAATTATACTACTAACATATTTTTCAAATAACAACTTTGTATTTGGAGAAAATTACAATTGATCACCTAAAATAAAATAAAAAATTACAATTTTTCACAAAAAATGTTTTCCTACCTTTTTTTTTATGCCTTAAGAAAATAAAAAAAAATTTGAAAAAAAATCCTGATTCAAAGGATCATAATTGATGCTTGAAAGGGTTAAAATCACCTAAACATGTGTGCTTCACCAGCAATGACATTACTTGATTATTAAAATAAATAAAAATAAAATAAGATCCTGTGCAAGGGCTAAAGCAGCACCAGGCTACATTCTTGTAGCCCATGTCTTTGTTGACGCAGTTAATGTCATTATGTCATGATCCGTGTTTCTGTGTATTTATTTTTAGGGTTTTCTGTGTTCAGTTTCCTTCCTGTGAGTCTCTGTCTCTGCGTCTTCCCCGTTGATTGCTTCCCAGGTGTGTCTCATTCCTTGATTACTCTCCCTGTGTATTTAAGTCCACCTGTTGTCTTTGTCTCTTGTCGGATCGTTGTCGTGTGTTCCTTGTGTTGCTGCCCGTTGTTCTGTTCTGGACCATCATCATCATCATCATCATCTTCTTCTGGGTCCCCGCGTTCTACTTCACCACCACCAACCACATCTCATGACACATTATGTTTGTCTGCTTATGTTTGAGGTTTTCTGGTAATGGAGACAAATGTGGAACAGTTCAGAAAACAAAAAAGCTCAATTAGTTGTTTTGGTTTTGAGCACAGAAAGCCACAGTGGGGCCATGTATGGAGCAGTGCTCTTTGTCTGTTTTTAATGACCTCCAAACATCCAAGCCACATTTGTACACCATGCAGAGTTTTAAAAGATTTGACTTTTTAAACTTGTTGAATCT